TTTATTCTTTTGTTGAGATTTAACATGGTCGAAAGGAATGAATAAACTTAAAATCTACCACTTAATAAATCTCTCTCCTGTGCTCCAAAATTCTAGGGTTAAGGTTGTGGAGGTGGTGGGCATCTTCTTAGGGTTTTCTTTCTGATTAAGGAGTCTCTTCCTTTTTTTTCTTCTATCAACATAAATTGTTCTTGTCATTTTATTTGGAACGCTATAGCCCTAGGTGATTTAAGGCAGTGGTACAAATCCAATTTTGGTTCCCTCATTAGTATTAGAGAGTGTGGCGTCCTGGTGGCAATGGCAGATGATGAACTTAGATCCATGCTTAGTTGTGTCTATATCGTAGAGGATAAGGATGAGGACGACATTCTCCCATTGCACACGGCCTGGAAACAAGGTGATATGCAAGTGGTAAAGTTGTGCTTGGCGGGGAAGATCCTCTCTCTTTGAGAATCAACCTAAATGGCTTCACAATGCTCCGATGGTCTCTTGGAACCCTAAAAAAAGCCTTTTACAATCTCTGAGATTGAGGAGAAGATTTATCTATTCCAAATCTCTAACGTCAAAGATATCAACAAAGTCCTTCATAGAGGTCCTTGAAATTTTAGCAACTCACTAATCATTCTGAAGTGATTTCAAACCTCTTTAACTGTAGAGCAATATAATTTTCCTACAAATCCATTTTGGGTCCAAATCTTTGATGTTCCTATTGGTATGCACTCAAAGCAAATTGGATACATAATTGGGGGTTCATTAGGAAAAGTTTTAGAAGTGGATGAAGGCATTCATAAGGCTATCAGAATTTGAATTGATTTGGAGATGGATAGGCCCTTGAAAAGATTTAAAACTTCTCAAATTACTGCTATAGAGAGCAAGAAACTCTGAATTAAATATGAATGACTTTTGGAGTTTTGTTTTGTTTGTGGATGCTTAGGCTATATCGAGAGCGATTGTGAAATTGTGAATAGTATAAAAGATGCTGGAGGTAAGATCGTCCATCGTTTTGCCTCCTAGTTAAAAGATGAATTGGAAAATTCATGGTGCCAAGATGATTTTGATATTTTGGATGAAACTTTCTCTACAAATACTCAATTTTTGGTTGGAGACAAGGCTGATGGGAGCAAGGAGCAGTTAGGAAATGGTGATCTGTAATCAGATAACTTTGTAGCCAACTATGCCCATCAAATAGAGGGAGGAAATAAAGATGATGCTACCACTAGATGTTCTAAAGCTAAGATTTTAAATCAATCTCCTATTGCTTTGCTAGATTCTATTGATGTGGAGGTGCCTTTGTCTCATGAATTTGGCAGCATCAAAAGATCTAAAGGGCAAGTAAAAGATATAAAGAGTAGCAGAAGCAAATGGAAAAGGCTGGAACATGCAGTGGGACCTCCACTATGCATAGACCAAACTATTTCAACTAAGAGGAAAAATTGCACTAAATTTTTGAGGAAGAAAGAGCTTGTAAGGTGTAGATAAACAACACAGGGGTGGCTTTAGTTCAACTGGCTAAAGACCACAACCCCCTAATAGGTTGAAAATTCATTTTTATTAGCGATGACATCTAGTACGTTAGGGACTATTGATGTTGAAATTCCTTACTCTCCCCATAAAGCTGATTAAATAGGTGATGACATCTAGTAACTTTCGATACTCATAGGGACTCTACTTTCTACATTAATAATCCTATTTTGCCTATACAATGATTGTATTTGCAATCTCTAATTGCATATGACTCTTTTTGTTTAATTGTATATATCCATTATAGATATAGTTTAAATCTGTTACTAGTATCATAAATTATGCTGCCAATTTTATTTTAGGCTATGGTGCCCTAAGATGGAGATTCAACTATAATCTCTTTTCATTTTAATATAATTCTCTATTTCTTATCAAAAAAAAAAAAAAAAAAAAAAAAAAAAAAAAAAAAAAAAAAAGAGAAAGGTCAAAAGGAATAAAAAAGAAGATAGTGGGCCGGATTATTCTTTGCTCGATAGCTACTTCTAAAGTTCCATCCATGTTAGGAAATTAATTGAAATATAATTTTTTCTATAATATTTTTATATAATTTATTATGTTATTAAATAATTAATTTTTTATTTTATGTAATCTCATAAATTATATATTTATTTAAATTAAGTATTTATTACAAGTATAATAACATAAAAAATTATATAGATAAATTATTTACATATTATTTTTTATTTTAATTGCACAATGAAAAATAATTTTTTTATATCCCTTATCTTATGCTATCTACATGCTGTGTGATTCAAATTCAAGATCTTTTATTTTCAATAAAAAAAAATTGCTATTGAATTATTTAAATGGTAGAGAATTATTTACATATTATTATCTTATATAAATAGTGAAATTAATTAATCCATTATATCACGGAATAACTTAGGTATATCATAAAATATGTATTCCCTTCGGTTAACTCATTAATTTTACAAATTTTTTATTGTGTTGATTGATTTGGTTAGATAAAAAATATACAGCCCCTTAATGCTAATGACTTGTTCCACATCAATTGTTAAGGCTTAAATTTTAAGCTTTCAATTTTTTTTTTTTTTTATGAACTAAGCTTTCAATTTCAAGTCTTATAATTATGGTACTCTTAATTCTAAAAAAAAAAAAATTATTAGTTTTATAGTACTTTATAATTTAGCTTAGGAAATTGACTGAAACATGATAATTAAGTTGGATTATAATTAATTAGTGAAATGAATGTAAACTCTACTTCACATAAAACAACTTCATTGATTCGGTCATAAAAATATTATTTAAAAAAATATTCTATAAAAAATAATTTATAATTTAAATTGATTTAAATTATTAAATGAGAAATAAGAGTTTAAAAATGAATGTTGTCCCCCATCTACCGATTCCTATCATACCACATATCACACGAAAGTTGTAGGCTTGATATATAGTAAAAAAATGATCAATTCGTATGCACTTGCTTTTCCTTAAAGTAAGTCAATCGTTTGGATGCAAATGTGCATGAATCTCCACTTTTTGATACTAAACTTACAAGCAAGAGCCACACAGATATGTACATGGGTATATATATATATATATATATATCCCAATTCTGCAACTACTGCACTAAAACAGATGTAAATGTTTTGGATCTTTCCCCTTATATAGAATATTAAAATACTTCTTCTTTAATTAATTCATCTCAATGACGTCCTGGATGACGATTCTTGGCTTGTATTAATTTATTCAAGTGGTACTCATGTTATGACATCGGATCATACACTAGTAAACAATTGGACCGACTGATAAAATAATTAGCATATTATTTTAATCAATGTGGATTAAAAAAAAGAAAGATATTTTTTCATGGGCAATTTTGATGAATATATTAATTAAAGGGTAACGAGAATCATATCTAGACGCGCCCTTTCCTCGTACACCACTCGCAGGTTGCGCCTTTAATTAACGCAAGTCCTTTTATTTTCAAGAAAGAGACACTTTTGTCCCACTTCAAAAAAGTCAACCAAGTCCATTCCTCAAATTTTAAAAATAGTAGGGACAAAATGTTCTTTTTTAGTTCTTACATCTTTTAAAAATAAAGGGATGACAGTGCTATTAAAAAAAAAAAAAAAGGGGTTAAAATAGACGTTATTTATCAACTTTTAAAAACAAGTTATCATGTAGGTGATGAATGAAAGCCCTTCATTTTTAAAAAAATGGAAGAATAGAGAAGTCGTGCACAAAATATTGTTTGGTGGAGTTTAAAATTAAATTTATTATATAGCTAATTTTTTTATCACAAATTTAAAATTTTTTACAGAGAAATTTGAATTTTTTTTCTTTTAAGTGACATAAGTAAATCTTAGAAAAGTTAAACACCTTCTTTGAGACAGCTATTTTAATGAATAACAGTGAGCTTGTTTAATTTGACATAATAAGAACTTGGATAGAATTTTTGTTTATATACTGTTAGAAAATTGTTGAATCATAATATAATCTAACAATTACAAATTTATTATTATTATTTTTTTTTACGTTTGATAATAAGAATCTTATTTTATGATTTATACCATATCAAATTTTAAAGTAAAGATTATTTAATAAAAAAAACTCTTAATATTTGTAAAAAAAATATTTATTTAAAAATTAATATTATATAATTTAATATAATTTAAATTATACAATATTTTTTATTTAATAATA